CTCATTTCTTTCAGCACAAGTCCTCATAATCCTTATTTTCCTCTTTACAGATTTTAAAATTAAGAATACTGCCTTGCAGAGAGCATTCCAATAATAGAAACCAATGTGTACAGCAAGAAAAAAAAAAAAAACAAAAAAAAGCTGCATCCAAGCAGTAAAATCTCTAACTGCCATTTACTTTCCTCTTGAATTGGATCACCACCAGCGTCAATACCATTGACATCACATTCTGTTTTCACCAGGTCAAGGACAAATGGATCCAGATGCAACTCACAGACCAACGCTGCATATTAAATTCTACTCATCTTATTAACAATACCCTCAAAACCAGCCCCAAGGAAGCACTCAAGAAACTTTTTTCTATGGATTTTGACACACGCTATTAAGCATCATTAAGAACCATCTCTGGTGATTTATGGAAAAACTTCTCAGCCAAAATACATAAATTCAGGAAGAAAAAAGAACTTTCACTGATTAGGAAAATGCCTGGACATTAAACACTATACAAAAGACTTCATTTATTTTATAACCATATTTAATTCGAAAATTCCAAGAACCTCAGATCAGAAAATCAAACTGAACTTTGCTCTCCTAAAGGTGTCTATGTTCAGCATGGAAGCCATTCATTCTTGAGAGAAACTGGACATAGCTTTTGTTATCTAGTTACTGCTGATAGCCTTTTCAGCTGTCCATCCTTCTTTGGGTTTTGAGTAATCCCACGGTCTCCTGTTCTCAGTATACCCATACAGCTTCCGCAGCGCCACGCGGGCAGCTTCTTCCTCTGCAGCAAGTAGCGTTTCCCCAGGCCCTTCAGCTATTATCTTCTTATCACTGGGAAGAAAGCAAACAAAACATTTTCGTCAGAATCCTGAGCACGGTTGTACATCATGGATCAGTGCTGCTAAATGTGTTTTCCCCCAGTCTGCCAATAGTGAGGGTAATTTCTATATACAGGCAACAGTGCAGACATTTCTGCTGGTTTTTTCTTGCAAAGGTGAGCTACTGGATATTCAGCAATAGAAACTCAAATCAGAAAGACAAGCTCTTCCTGGAAGAACACTACTCTGTTCACTGAGACTCCTAACACATCACTGATTGTTCAGTGTTCAGTTTCTGTTATCGCTGTTAAAAACATGCAAATCCTTTACTTTGGTCAGCTTAACCAATCTTTTCTTTTTCCCCAGTAAGAAAGCATTTTAAAAATTCCTCAAAAGGAATCCACCTCCCTTGATGTCTCCTTACCATCTCTAAGCTCTGCATACAGCTGCGGTCCTTCCAGACCTCATCAGTTCTGTGACTGGCAAAGTCCCTGTGCTACAGCAACCAGAACATCCTGGCTCTGGTTTCCCTTCTGAGGAAGGGTGTCTGACTCAGACTTCAAAGCTCTTTAGTCCAAGACTGTCTTTGTGCTCTACTCCTGACAATGCTTAAGTGGTTGATTTTACACAGAAGTCACTGCATGTTTTTTTTATGTAATAACTTGACCAAGGATCACAGGTAAAGAAACAAAAGGACCATCTTCTGTCCTCCCCTCTTTCCCAGCTTGAATCCATTCAAATTAATACCATACTAACCAGTACAGCCCAATGAAGTACAGTGGCAGAACTGTGTTGACCCCCAGCTGCCTGGTAATTCTTGGTTCTGGAGCAGAGATATTTCTCTTGGCCAATTCTTCCACCAGCAAGCCCATAGGATTTACGACTTCCCAGATCTCAAACAGGTCTTTTCCAATCAGTTGGGGAATTAAAAAATCCTAAATAGAAAAATAGTTAGAAGTTAAAATCAATGGGAAGGGAAACAACAGCTCTAGCTCCTAGTGCCTGTGAATAAAAACCCGATACGAGTCACTAATGCACCTGACAGCAGATATCTGGAATGAACGATCAAAGCGCCTCTGCGCTATGGCACGGCTAAGCAGGACCAGGAGGCGCTGCTGAGCTCTGCAGGCTGAGCTGCTCAGTGTGCACACCAAGCCAAACTGCTCCCACCTGAAGGAGCGGCACCCGCCTGAGGGCTTCACAGTGCTGCCAGGCAGCTCTGAGCGTGAGGTGAGCACTCAGAAGGGAAACCAAAGCAGCAGACTGGATGTCCGCAGGGTCCTGACAGAAGCTGAAGGCACCATGCAGTGCCATGCAATTTACACCTATTGTGGCCACTGTCTGGTCTGGCAACTGCTGCTGGCTCTTACACAGACCCCCACCTTGTGTCAGAAATGAGATTTTAGCAGATAACTTCTCCATTCCAACATTAGCAATAAGTGAAACGGGAGAAAGGCCAGCAGCTGCCCAAATTACTCTGTTACACCGCAGTTTAATTGAACGTTCTGGTATGAAAAGACCTTTGAATCTTTGCACTCCTGAGCCTTTTTGTTTAGAGAAAGAACCAAACAACTTCTCTGGATCTTTGGTCACTGAGGTGCAGAACTTTTTGCCTTTCTTCCTTTAACTTCGCCCCCCTCCCCCGACACGACCACTTGTTGCTATCGGCACAAAAGAAACCACAAAGGCCGGCGCACCCTGACGAACAGCCCGGCTCTCTCAGGCCCGCTGCTGCCCAGCAGCGCTCCCACCACCGCGAAGAACGTGGCGTGCAGCACGGCCGGCGGCGCGGGGAATTGCGCGCAGAGCGCCAGGTCGGGCAGCGCCAGGTTGCGCGCCACGTGGGACACGAGCTGCCGCCCGGTCAGGAAGGCGACGAGCGCCGCCACCCCTGGGGCGGGCAGGTCGGGGTGGGCGGCCTGGAAGCTGCGCGTCAGGTAGGAGTGCGAAAAGGACATCCCTCGGGCGGAAAGCTCCGCGTTGTCTCGGAGGTTGAGGGCGACGGCGTCTTGGTCTACGCCGAGGTCACGGCGCTTCGCCTCCTCGCTTTTAATGTAACAGGAATTCACGAAGGCGGTTTTGAGGAGATCTAACGAGAAGTTTTCCTGCAGGCGGTGGCCGAACGCCTGGATTTCCGCGTGGTAATCCCACCCGGGCTGCTCCGAGCTGCGGGCGAGGAAGAAAACGCGGTCAGAACGAGGCGGCTCCGCAACCGTGAGCGTCCTCCGCCCGCCGCCCTCCCCTCGTGCTCTCACCGCCGCCGCGGGGCCGCCCGCAGCCGCTGCTGCTCCAGATAGGCGCGGAGCCACCGCTTCTTCTCGCGGCGCGGCGCGGAGCCCGGAACGAGCCGCCCCGTCCCGGCCGCGGCCAGCAGCCGCCGGGAGACCCGCAGCAACAGCAGCCCGGCGGCCATAGCGGCGGTGGCGGGGCGGAAGGTCCGTGCGCTCACGCGTCCCCCGGGCGGAAACGCTCCGAGTCGGTGCAGAACGGCGCGCTCCGGAAGCGGAGGAGGAAGGGCTTCGTTCATCCGTCCGTCCGCCGCAGCGAAGGAAGGGCTTCGTGAGAGACGCCGAACCCTGAGCTGTTGTTTGGGTTTCACTTGGAAGACAGAGAGCCTTTTTCTTCCCGTAAAAGAAACTTTTATTGTTTCTTGTGTTCCAGAACAACTCTGTAAACGCAGCAGGCACGGCCCCGGCTGATGAGAGTTCACACAGAATCCTCCGCTTCACGCTGACGCTCCGCAGCAGGACGCGCTCCGTGCCGGCCCTCACTCAGGACAAGGCACGTGCAGCACACACAGCACAGGCTGCAGGCAGCCCCCAGCCAGGGCCCATATGGCAAAAAATGCAAAAAAGCGACACGTGAAGCAGCCAAACTCAGGAAAAAAAGCACTCAGAAAAGCAGGCACAGCAACCTGACACACAAAGACAGCGCAGAAGCCGTGTGATGCCAGGCAGCACAGCCTGCAGAGCTCCTGCTGGCACGTGGAAGGGATGAGAGCAGCATGCAGTCCATGAGGCACACAGTGAAGCACCCAGGTCTTCTTGCACAGAGCAACCTGTCCTGGCTGCCAGATGTTGGAAATCTCACTGGCTGCTTCAGCCATCCAATTTACCTCTATCCTGGGCAGCCAACTGGTAATTCTCACAGATAAATACTGTGCAAATAGCAGTCAGTCATCAGCAAGATCAGTTACGGTGCAGCTACAATGAGAATTTTCATATGTATTTACCATCTTTCCAGTCTTCCAGGCAAATATCCCACTCATGGCATTGGAGAACAGCAAGGGGGGCTCCTCAGTCACTTTATGTCCCAGCGTGCCCCATCCCAGTTCTGCTCCCAAACAGAATAGCACGGCTGCACAGGAGCTGGGTGATTCTTCTGGCCAGTAGGCAGTGCTGCTGCTGGGCAGGGCAAGTCAAGGGTAAAGCTGGAGGAGGCCTCATTTCTGCAGCTGTTGTGTATCATCATCTCTCAGCAGTCCGTGTCCCAGACATGGAGCCCAGAAGTTGTCCTGCACAGTGGTCCCAGCTGTTCTACAAAAGGTCACCTCTGAAGCACAGTTCTGCTGTCACTGCACTTTCTCCCACACACTGACACTGTTAGGAAGATTCCTGTACAGTTGAGGAAGGGGCTGTGGCTGCCACACATCCAAGTGGAAGGTGCAGCTGTACAAAGCCTGGAAGCCACCAACACAGAGGGAGGCTGAGGAGCTCCAGCAGCACTGTGCGTGGCTCAGAGCTCCCACAGAGCAGTCTGGCAAGGACAGCAGCACAAGGTGGATCACACAGCTGAAGTGAGGATGTTTAATCCTACTGCAGGACGTGGGGACACTGGGCTTGCTTCCTATACAGATGTACTCAACCACATACACCCAGAGCAACTCCAGAGCACGCCAGGCAAGGCACCCCTCCAAGCAGGCTATCAGGTGCCCACCTGCTGCTGGCTCTTACTTTCCAGGCTGCTAGTTCAGACAATCCTCAAACTTTCTTAAAATAATACTAAGCAAATTTTTAAATTATTTCTTTGTTTTATTAAATACACTACAGTGGTCTTTTGTACTCCATCATCTTTTGATCACTCAGATTGACTCGCTTAAAAACATATTTTATAGAAAAAACATCTGCAAAATTAAAGCTAAAATAAAAAGAAACAAAAGATATTACACACCTCTGGACAGTCTGCATGTTAGCAAAGACCTTTTATTATCTGACCTGAACACAGCCTTAAACTAGGAACATACTCATGAAACAGGACACATTCCTTGAATATGGCACACCTCTGATACAAGTTAGACTGAAGGAGAACTAGTGCAATGATGTTCACTTGCATCTAACAACAGATCAATAAAACCTAGATTTCATTACTTTGTGTTGATATTTTTTCCCCAAACCCAATTTGATTTGTTCTCTCCCAACCACAACAAAAAAATCCAGTGATTATTCCTGTCGGACACTCTCCTTACATTGCACAAAGCAGGCTTCATCTCAAAATCAGCTGATCCGTATTTACATTGAAGCATGCAAAGGAGGATACTGCAAGTATTCACAATGCAAATCTATTAAATACAGCATAACTGAACAACAAGGTGTCCCTTTAACACTGCAATTCTATAGGCTTTTTTTTTCTGTGGTGGAAGTTTCCAGTGAATGAATTATAAAACAGCATACAATTCAGAAACAGAGTTTTGCAAATTCTGTTGGTATTTTGATCGACTAAATCTTTCAGAGCTGTGTCTAGCGCCGAAACCAAAGCCAGCTGTTGAGTAGCCAGAAAGCTACAGTAATTGAATACATGATCATCTCCCTTTTAGCACGCTCTTTGTTTTCTTCTTCCAGAAGCTGGAGACGCCGATTAAGTTTGATTATCTAAAAATAAACACACACTTTTAGTAGTTTAAATAAAGTTGACAGAGTTTCAAGAAGCTTGAATAAGCATCCAAAATCAGTATTGTGCTTGATGGATTTTAAACACTTGATAATGTAACTTTCCATCTTTAGTGGCTAGTCATCAGACCTTGCTGTCCCTGCTAAGCAGGAGCAGAAATGGAGTTGGACTCCCCAGACCTCCAGAACAATACTGATTTGTGCAGGCAGTCTATCAGGGATACAGACAGCATATCTCACCACATCAACTACACAGCTTCCTTTGCAGCCATACCACTATATTACAGCAGACAGCCTGCTCTCCTATTTTACCACTACAGCTTTTTCTTAATATTATCAACTGTTACACATTACATACCTGCCTTCTTAAGGAAGCAGCATCTACAACAGTCATGTCGTCTGGTGTTCCTTCAAGTGTGGTATCCATGTTGGAAAGACCGTACCTATCAGGTTACAGAGATCAATTAGCTGCCTGATCCGTACAAAATTTAGCAAGTATTGCATTTTATAAGCATTCTAGTAGATGTATTTTTGGTGGTGATAGGCAGGAGAATTCTCAGACCTTTTGGCTTTTACTGAGTCACGTACTTTCAATAGGACGATGACTGAATCAAGCATGAAGATGTATTAAGTGGGCGATTGGCTAAATCTGAGTCCACTGTTTTCCACATTCAAACATTTCTGGAATTTCTCCACACAGACAGATTTCTTAGTATCACTTGGTCTCTCAACACTATTTCTAGTTATTCCACTGCTTAGTGAACGCTGAAAATTGCCTGAGCTAAAACGCCACAGTTGCAAGAGATGTGCAATAGATTTGAACTAACCAAATGAAGATTTGGAAAGAAGTGGGTATCTTATGCTCAGTATCTATTCAAATATTCCACACACTGAGATTAATGATCTCAGTCAAAAGAACCTTAATATTTTAGATAAAGGACAGAGAATGCTATAAACAGAGTCAGGTGCCATCACTGCTTGGTGAATTCTGCATGCTTCAGGAAGAGGGTTATTATCAAAACACCTCAATTTTCTTGATGTAATGACTCAGATAAAGCTTTATTCTAACTCCAGGATAAGTTATTTCAATACACACATTTTCACATAGTTGGTATCTTCACTTTGATGAAAACAGAAAAGCGTAGTGTGAAACGGGAATTTCCTTAATCCTGATCATGACCTCACATTTTAAGATTACATCCAGTTCCGCCGAAGTGATGTCAGTCTGCCAACATAATGGCTGTAAAAACACATCCTGCTACCACTAACACTCATAGGCATGTTACTGAAATCACCTGGAAAAAAACAACATGATGCAAGGCCAACTTTTCTAGCAATAACAATACAAAATTCAACCACTATTAAACAGGAGGTACTCAAAGCACATTGCTAATGTAATTTAAAATCCTCTCCTGGCCGCACAACTTCTGCAGCATTATTCTATCTACTATACAAGTAAGTTTGATGGTGAGGAATAGGGGCCTGAAATGCCTTAAGAGGTGAGGGGGGAGATGGAGGAGCACTGTGATCCATTAAATTAGTGGATCGCAACTGACAGTAACAACAAAATCTTTACCTGGTGTTGTCATGATGAGGGTTAGAGGAAGTGGTAGCAGCTGACCCACCACGTAACACTGGCCTATAGCAGTTTTGTGTAGACAGAAAACAGGAGACAGAAACAGGAAATGACAGAGATAAGAGGTAAAACACACAGAACAAAGGAACATCAAAATATTTCCACTTATATATTTCTATACAATGCCTATTTATTTTACTGAATTTAATTAACACCAAGTGTTTACAGCTCTGTAGGTTTTTTTTTTTTAATGAAAAAGCTTCATTTGTGGAAGATGAATGGTTGGAATATAGATTTGGGAGGAGTTATCAACCATATAATTCTATGGGATTCCTCATATTTTTTAAAAAGGCTCTCCAAAAAACAAAACCTCAGGAAAAGAAATATCTATACTTATGCAGAACAGAATATGTCAGTTGGAAGGAACCTGCAAACATCATCTAGTCCAACTGCCTGACTGCTTCATAGCTAACCAAAAAAGCATACCATTGAGGACACTGTCCAAAAGCCTCTTGAAGACTGACAGGCACGAGGCACTAACCACCTCCATAGCAGACCACCCTCGTGGTAAAAGCAATTTTCCTAATGTCCAGTCTGAACCTCCCCTGGTGCAGCTCTGTGCCATCCCATGCATCCTGTCCTCAGTTTCCAGGAGCTCGACACCTCCCTCTCTGCTTCCCCTCAGGAAGTTGTGGTAAGCCATGAGGTTGCCTCTTGGACTCCTTTTCTCCAAACTAGATAAACCAAGAGCCCTCAGCCTCTCCTCAGATCAGACAGCTTCCAACTTTATAAAAGCCTTTTAATCACTCTCTCCTCTCTCTAAGGAAAGAAGGATTTCTGGCTTGTCTTTCTTCACCTAAGCTAAATATAACTTAGACAACAAGGGCTACAGACCTAAGGACCATGTACAGATATAAAGGAGAGGCAGGAAGAAGTGACTGAAAGCTTCAAGTACATGGTAAGAGCATCCCTGTTATTACTGCTCTTTCAAGTTTGTTTCTTTTTATTTCTAGGCAGAGGGCAAGAAAAGGTTACAGCTTTCTAAGTTGTTTAAACGATACAAGCACCACTTTGTCAGGAAGAAGTTGGCACACCCCAATTTTCAGAAGATATCAGCTGTATGTTCCGATGACAGTGACACTATGAATTTCAGTACCTCTGCTAACGAGGCAGTTGCACACCTGTGCTGTGTAACAAACTGATTTCAAGCAGTTGAACAATTTCTTCTATTTTCCCAATGCCAGCAGTAGGTATTTGTACTGTGCACTCAACCCACATACATACCAGCCTCTAAAGTTAGCAACAGGGAAAGAGAATCCAGGGTTGAAGATCCTTACAGCTGTGACAGTTGGGAGTCACAGGTCTGGTGCTGAGGCAGCTAGGTGAGCACTGTGGCCTGGCCCAAAAATGACCAAGTGCTGTGCAAAAACATCACAATCGCTGTGACTGAATTGAAAAGATTGAGGGTCTAGGAAGCCTTAGCAAACAGCTTCCCAGTACACAGCACTGGGATTAGGTCCTACTCTAAACAAATCTTCTGCAATTGGAGCACATTGCTATTATATCATAAAACTAAAAATGAAGTCCTGGAAGTGAAAAATGAGAGGCAGACAAGCGAAAGCCAGCATGATGCACCTTACAAAACAGAAGTTCCCAATCCCAGCACCAATAATAAAATAATATTCTTCCTCAAGTTCTCAAAAATGGTTTTCCTATTTCTTACTGGGAGAAATAATTCCGTTAGCCTCCAGTCTTGCTGGACAGATGCTATAACTAAATGCTTGGAGAAAACACAAGGAATTCAGCATAAAGCAGTTATAGAACAGGTTACAGAATTCCTCTGTGAACAAAAGTTGACTGTAATAAACAAATACGCCAACAGCAGCTTGATGTTGTGTCATGAGACCAACAGTTCTCAAATGCTCTCTGAACTCTAGTTCTCTGTGGCAGTTTGTGGTAAACTTAAGGTTTTACAGATGCTGCAGAACTTATCAATGCTATGTAACCTGTACCATCCTTACAAAAAAAAAAAAAAAGCCTTGGGTCTGGAAGCAACTGAAGACTACAGCAAACAACAGCAGGTGCCATCCAAACCGGGAACCTGAGCTACACTGAAGGCACACCTTTAATCTCACTCTAGCGTGGCGGCTTTGTTGTCTTCTTCCTTTTCTCTGCAGTTCACGTTTTTCTTTCTTTATTGGTGGGCCCAGGAGGATCACCGCAGTATTTCCCTGCCTCTCCCACCTTTTTTACTTGCTCAATATCAGGAAATCAGCAACAACAGCAACAAAAAGTAATCTAGATAACAGTGACATCTAAATCAGTGAGATCACCTCGCCCTCAAACTCGGCAGTGAATTTTCAGGTAAATACAGTGTGCAGTAGCTCAACTCTCCTCTAGTTGTAAAGGCATGACAATCTTTCAGCAAGTAGTATAGTAAAAAAAAACAAAACAAAACCCAACAAAACCTAAAACTTTTGGTCTTCTGGCTGCTTCTGGCACCAACCTAAGTATTAAAACACGATCAGATGCAGCCATAATTTAGGTATGCTCAGCACTTAAATATTTCACTGCAAATACAATGGCAGCCTAAAACACAACGGGAATGCACAGTAATGGATTTTAATAACAGTGGTAAAACAGGTAATAATGCAATGACCAAATGAACCAGGTCTATCTTCCTCTGCTTGGAGCAGAGCATGCAATACCACAGTAATGATGCAATCAAATGGTCTGAGAGGAAAACAAGAGGTGTGGATAATCTAGGTCCAGCTTATATCACCTGTGTGCATACACACGTGACTCAGGCCAGCAATTCGTTGTTCAGTAGGGGCAGCAGCTATGTTGACTTCTCACCGTACTTTGAAACTTATCTGGAAATCTCAAACAGCTGTAAGAATGTGCACTAGGACTTTATGGACGTGATCGGGAGGTGAACTGGGTAAGAAGTTCAGCTGAAGTATAAAAGCTCTGAAGTACAGAAAGGATTTGTGCACTGAAGCATCAGTGAGTAGGCACAACTGCTCTCCCTGCTCACCTCAGCACTACAAGCGATTACTTCAACAAAGCAAGGCTCCTTCACATCTGCAGCTCTGTTTCATTTGCTTCTGAACTGAATTACCCTCATCTAAACTCTTGTGTAAGGACTGGTACAGTCTTAACTTGCACCATATTATTTCTGTCATGAAGATTGTCATCAGCTTCTTCAAAATAAAATGTGATCTTACAAACACTTCAGGAAATTAATACGTGGGTGAGGTTTGGCACTTAGTGAGGATGGTGGCTTTTTAGAAAGTACTTATCTGATAAAAAGGAGACAGCAATGAATTTCTATACTTTTTCTTTCCAAATAGTTAAGTCCTTGGTTCAAGAGGTAAAGAATAGCTTAGATAAAGTACAAATATTGTAAAAATTAATCGATTTTTTTTCCCCTGCACTTTATTTAAAATAATACTAAAATATCCTTAAATGCAGCTTTTTTGGTTGCCTGCAGCATATGAGCCTTTAAAAGACTAGTTTTTGGTCTCATAGAAGTTGAAAAAAGGTTAGAACTGGAAAGCAAAACTGACCTATTGTCCTTGTCCAAGCTGAAGGAAGTGCAAGAGTAAACAGACAGTGTAAACAGTAATCATTATATCATGGCCCATCTGAAGAATCATTCATGCGAGCAATGCCAACCAAACCAGGCATAATTCATTAGCTGCAGCAGTGTAATCAGCACCTACCATCAGTAGTTTCAGTGAATTGCAAGGTAATTTTGCAAACATTTTGTAAAAAGAAAAGCAAGCCACAAAATAAGGAAAAATATTTCCAGTAAATAGCACAAGTCAGACCTTGTTCATTTTAAAAGATCTCATAATTAGCATAAAATTTAAAACAGTAAGGCTTTCAGATAGAACACATTACGCAGAGCAAAAGAACAGACAGCAGTTTGAAACAGTTTAAAATGAACAATATTTTACAACCATGCAAGTGAATCATCCAAATTTCACATTCCTACGCTGGCTGTAGAATAACAGTGGGTATCTAAACAACCCACCACTAGGAATACACTTTTACCTTAACTGATAAATTCATTTTGGGGGTAAGACTGCTTGGCAGGCGCGTAACACTAATTTCCTGCTTCTTTTCAGAAGGCTACTAAGAGTGCCTCAAAAAATGAACCCAAACCAGGAAGAGTAATGCAGATTTAGAAGCATTTAGAACCCTAGAATTATTTTGATGACTGAAGTGAAAAGTGTGCTTATTAATATGTATACATGCAATATCCAAGGAAATGTGGGCAAGAACCCACCAAATGGAAGGCAGGGTAAATCTTTTTTGCTTCTCTGCAGACTGAGGAAAGGGCCAGAATTTCAGTCCATATTTTAACAAGGACTTTTGGCACAACATACAGTACTGTTACTCTCAGACAGAAGAATTCCTCTTTGTCTGGGAGCTTTAATTTTGTTAGGAAAGCAAAACACCACCACAGCCTGTTACTCCATCTAATCTTTTGATACTGACAAGATTGAAAGAACAAAAATAAAACAACAAACAACTATTGCCCAATGGACACGCATTGACATTTTAACCTCTAGAATTTGGAATTTCATGGGATTAAGACTGGGTTTAGCACCCAACTGTGTTTTGCTTGATTTTTATTTTCATTTTTCATTTTTTTTTCCCCAAGTTCCAGGTTAAAGGCACAAAGATCAGCAAGACTGGAGTTCTGTGTGATTTGGTAATAATAATACAGGCATTGACGTACAGTCCTGTCAGTAAACGTGGTGAGCTACAGGGGGTACAACTGTGAAAACAGGCATTTTCAATAAGATTGGCTTGATGGTCATACTTCCTTACCAAAACAACTAGAAAGCAAATCACTTCACTTTATAAAATATTAGGAGTGCTACTGGTACTACAGCAAAACCAGAGGCAGATAAGGAATTTGAAAGAACTTCTGAGTACAGCCCTGCTTAAGGACTGCAGGAGGAACGAGCAGTTCATCCCAGCACCCACGGCAGTTTGCTTCTATAATTCAAACTCTCTGCAAGAACTACAAAATGCAGCGATTCTTATCTGAACCTCTGTGACAAACACAGTATTGAAATTAAAATTGCTTTTGCTAAGAAAATTTCATCATTTTTAGTCTTTATAGATGCTTCTGCAGCGATAAACATGTCATTCTAGTCGTGCTCAGAAGTGTCAAATCAAAACAGCACAGGGACACAGCAAGTGGGCAAAACTCCACTTGAAAAGAATGGAACTACGCTGATCACAACAAGGCTTCTTTGGGCTCATCAGCTCTCAAAGTATCAGCTTACTCATCGAAACAAAAAAATTATAAATTGAAGGAGAAACTCCGTATATATTGGTTTTTCTCCCCAATCCCCCCCC